TAAACCTAAATTGAAAACAACGGGTAAACATCTGCTCCTGTTCTAGAGATCGGGGAGGAGTGTGAACTGGACGATAAAGTCGATCAACCGCAGAGGAGTTCAACATCCTCTAATAGGTTTTCTAAAAGAAAAGATGATCGGAAACATTTGAACCAACATCATAATTCGTCATAGTTGTCATCACATACCGCTTGCTGAAAGATAACATGGGCTTATCTTGAAATATATCTACAATATAATCCAGTCACTCAGTCTCCATTTGCTTACAAGTTATTGGCTAATAGAATGTTGTAATTAACGACTATACTTTATCAAAACTGTCACCCATAGGGATAGAAATTGTAAGGCTATATCACCCTCTTTCACTGTTTATCGTTCTTTTTTTTCTTTCTTTCCTTGTACACAGACACCTTAAAGTGTCGGTATGTGCATATCTGAGTAAAGGTATATAGAAATATTTACATGCCTAAATGCTTTAATATTCTATACATAATAATATGCACCGTTCCATTTGCGACTGTAAGTTTTGGTAATATTATATAATTATGGAAGATTTAAAAGATTGGGTAATATATTATTATAGAATAAACAAACACAGAGATGCGCGCGCACGCACACATACACAGATAGATAGATAGATAGATAGATAGATAGATAGATAGATAGATACCTATACGCACACACACACACACACACACACACATATTGTTATGAAGTAGATACTGAAATCATTACTGAGCGGTGACAGTCTGTTTCAGGCCATGTGTGTTGCACTTTGGTGCGTCTATTTATATATGATGGATACTGATGCATTATGGGTAATAAGGTCTAGTGTATTATCCTAACGTTTATTGCGTAGGCGGTAACGACTCTGTTTCAAATTAATTTAGAGGTTATTGAATATGCACACACAAATATATATATATATATATATATCGAAATAAAAGTATAAAATTTAATATTACAAGACATATTAAAACAATATTAAATAATAAAAAAAACACAACAACAAGGGTGGGGAAGTAACCGGTTTCGCTCCCGCTCTTCAGGCTTCCACGGGAGATTCAAAATTAAAACAGAGAAATGTACAATAGAATTTGTGTGTATATGTGCGCCTGTTTGTGTATCAACGTGCGTTTTGTTGAACCTTAATTTAAATTCAAACAGTTTAGCGTTCAATAAATATGAGTAATTTTCATAATCGAAATAAGTGCATTGACAAAGAAAGATATAATGTTGAAAGAGAATTTAAGGCCGAAAGAGAGAGTAGAAATTTCTCGGGCACACCAATGAACTTGTGTAAATGATTGTCAGAAAAGGGATTAGGAGAGATAGCAAAAAAATAAATAAGAATTACGACTGACAGCAAGTTCTGTTGAACCATTATTATCCACATCTCGAAAAGACACAGAACATAGAATAAGAAGAAGAAGAAGAAGAAGAAGAAGAAGAAGAAGAAGAAGAAGAAGAAGAAGAACAACAACAACAACAACAACAACAGTAAATTAAATGATTTTAAAAATGCATTTATCTATGCAAACGATTACTAAGACAGAGATTGATCCAACCTAATATGTTAGCAACTAAGATTGCCTTGGGCCATACTAAGGTTAGCCATGTAAATAAGTCCACGAGCACAAAGTAAAATATATTTATTTTGTAAAAATACCAAATTGTGTCACAAGGCCAAAAAGGGAAGTGGAGAAAGGCTGGACTTTCACTAGCTATCCTATTCCTAGTTAACCACAATCATGACCCATTCATTCATTACAATTACACATTCACCACAAGAACTCATCCATCACATTTCAATCATGTGCACACCACAATACAACATATTCACAAGGGTCCTACAAAACACACCATGAATTAAAAATTTGTAATGTTCGTATATATATATATATATATATATATATATATATATATATATATATATATATATATATAAATTTCACGAAACATGAAATACTGGGGAGGCGATATGGACCCTACAAGAAAACAAAATAATGTTAGTAGGAACCCTCCACCGCTCAAAATAATAAGAGCGGCTGCTGTATCGATAGATCATATTCTATCGATAGATAGAATCTATCTATTCTATTCTATCGATTGATAGAATCAGGAAGCACACTCACTAATGGAATGGGGAGGGAAAATAAATGATGAAATAGGGAAATCAAAGGTTGACTCAGCCGAGATGAAAAAAGGGTACAGAAACAAACTCGGGAGATTGGGAATCCCGACATGGATCCTAACAGAAAAAAAAAGCCGGAAACAGGCCGGGAAACAAGGCTTATTCACATTAACTAGGAACACAAAATAGTGTCAAACTTAACCGGGGGCGGGGGGTCCACAGGAAACCACCCCGTTGCGTTAAGGTGACTTAAAAAAGAAAATCAAGGCTAGCCCCGTCCTGACGAACCAGGCTTGCCTCAGTCACCCACCTTTCACTGAAATCTGTCGAAATCAAACGCTTTCGATCAGATCTGATTTTCACCTT